AGAAAGACAGCCACCTCGCCATTCGTTGCGAGAGGTGTGGACTGTTTACGGCCGTGCGTAACGACGCATGGTCGGTATAAACGATGAAGGTCCTATCTCCTAAGAGATATACCCGAGCCTTAGCCAGTGCATATTTCATGGCAAGGAGGCCCTTGTCATGCACCGGGTAATTACGCTCAGCTGCTTGCAGCTGACGCGATTGGTAAAAGACGACGCGCTCAACGCCATCTGAGTCGTACTGCATTTACGCGCAGTCAATTGCAACATAGCTGGCGTCACAAACCACATGGAATGGTCTGTCCTGGTCTGCAATCGCCAACACAGGCGATTGCGCCAAGCTTTTCTTGATGCCTTCGAAGTAGTGCTGACACTCAGCACTCCATGACCACCGCTCGTTTTTTCTTTAGTAGACGAGAGAGATGTACGGTCATCTCGGCGTGGTTGCGCGAGTACTTTTGCAAGTACACAGCTAAGCTAAGAAACTTTCGAAGTCCCTTGACGTCGACTGGCACATGCCAGTCGCTAGTCGCCTTGATCTTTTCCAGATCAGAGCGTACATCGTTTTTACCCACGATGCAGCCAAGAAGTGGTATTTCGTTCACTGCCAAATACACTTCTTGAGGTCCGCGATCAACTTATGCTCTCGCACAAGAGTAAGAACCTTCCGGGTGTGTATTCTATGAACATCCACTTCCTTCCTTCCATCCCCATCCCGGCTATGGACGAAGACATCGTCAAAGTAACCCGTTGCAAAATATCGCACCGATCGCAACAGATTCGTAACACATCTGTTGAACGTTGCAGGGGCGTTAATTAGCCCCCTGTGGCATCACTAGCCACTCCTAGAGCATACCACTGGGGGTGCTCACTGCTGTGTACGGGATATCCCGTTCACGCATGAGGATCTTATAGAATCCATCCATCAAATCCATGTAAGAAAAGAAGGTACTTTTTGCCATGTCATCAATGATGACGTCCTTCCTCGGTATCGGCGTTTATGCCGGTGCCGTTGCAGCATTCAATTTGTTGAACGCGTGCACTATCCTCCACCCTCCTGCAGCCTTTTGCACACAGAAGGTCGAAGAGCCGTGTGGGGATGTTAAACCCCTCACATGACCAGCCGCTAAACGATCGGCAAAGAATTTGTCGATCGCTGTGCTCTTCTATCGTGTTTGCTCTACGATCAACTTTCGATTTGTTGATCTCGCTGTAACGTGTAGTTCAATCTGAACAGCACTCATCTCTCTTCTTTGTAGCACCTTCGCGGTGTACATCCGTGTTCCAGTCCACTCGATCTCTTCGAGTGGTGTAATTTCGTCGCAGCCTGTGTCTCTACACAGGTGCTGGAAGCTGGTTCGACAGTGTAGTGGACTTCTACACTGATCTTGTGCAGTCGTACTAACGACCTTACCACAAGTGGGGCAGTCGCACTCAATCGAAGCACATCCACACGCTTGTGGGCGCTCCAGCGCGTTCGTCAGATGGCCATCTGATAAGCAAACGGCAGGTATCTTCACGAATCGATGCTGCCAGCTGATCCATGTCTCTTATCTTCTGAGCCATGGCAGACCGAGGATGACATCAAATTTGTCATCCAAATCCAGTATGTATGATGAAGTCGTCATCGCACTGCCTTCCTTCTATCGTGTACACGTTCGGATTCCCACTACACGTTTGTTCACTGTTACGGATGCAACTGTAGCAAGGCACACCGTCATTCTCGTTGGAGGGAACTCTCGCTCAACATAGTCGAGCCTACTATCCTCTGGCGACTGGCGTCGAATAAAACTGCTCGACGCCCCACAGTCAACTAGGGCGCGAAGTGACATTCTACTTGTCACTTCGATCTTCAAAGCGATGAGGGACACCTCATCACTAGGTGCAGTAACACATAGTGACTGTGTGTTGCTGCAATCTTCGTCAAGGGTCCTGCAAATTCTCTTGACTATGCTGGATCAGCAGGGTGCTCCGACCATACTGACCCTGTCCATTTTTTGACGGTCCAACTTGCTGTCGCGGCATAGCTACATGGTCGGACCCACGCCTTGGACCTATCCTTGGCCAACGGTGGTCATCACGTCCTGGCTTCGGACGTGTTGCGGCGCTTGGGACACTACAATCATAAGCGTAGTGTCCAATCTTTGGACAGCGATGGCATCTTGCCGTTCGCTTGTGACTCAGAGAGCGAAATTTCTTGCTCTCGATGTAACAGAGTTCCATTGGTTCTGGACCTCCTGTTTCCTGTCGTCTCGTCGGACGATAGTGTGACAAGTTATCTCGAGACTGTCTCAGGATGAAGTCTTCTCGTTCCGCATACGCTATCGCCTTTTCCAGCGTATGGAAGTCCTCTCGGAACATGTAAGTCTTCACCGGCCCATCTACAAGGCCGTAGATGAACACGTTGATAAGCGTGTGCTCATCAACAGGGTTTCCCGTAACTCTACTCGCAAGGTAGCGGAGGTTTTGTGCGTAAGCGTGCACGTCACGCTTACCTTGATTTAGCCTCAAGAGTGCAGAGCGTGCCCTGAACTCGGCTCTCGGCGGCTCAAACGGCTCTTTGAGCCGAGACTTCAAGATCTCCAGCGACTCAAACACGTTTAGGTCGTGAAGCTTGATCCCTAAGGCCCAAGTCTTTGCTCGTCCTGTCAAATTTGACAGGGTGAAGGTGACTTGCATCTCGTCACCCTCGATGTGACGGGCCCTGATGGTCGTCTGACTCGACGAACCATCCCAAAAGGGAATCTTCAACGGTTCCCTTGTACCTTGAGATGTCTATCTTCAAGATTTCGGGTCGACGCATGTGCGTCGGCCTGCTCATCGACTGATGAGAGCTTCGCTGTTGTAGCAAGGCTATCTTCTGTCTCTCGACGGCAAGTTCCCCTTGTAGGAACTTGTTGATAGCGGCATGTTGCTGGTCTCTGTTTGGAGACTCCAATATGCCACTGATGCCGGGTTCGCCCATGAGCACACTCATGCGGCCGACTACCTTCCATTCTGAGTCACTCAGATGGGAGTAGCCTTCACGTGTGACGCGAAAGCTGTGGTCTTCTACGTCCGACATGTTCATGTTGGACGGACACTAAGTAGTCGTTGGACGGACTACGAAGTGCTATCAGGTGTAACGGGGCACCATTTGTTTGCGGTGCCGCGAAACTTCACGTACACTAGTACGTGCAGAGGAAGCTAATCTACTCAAACAGCTAGTTTGAGTAAAGGTAAAAAGAGGACTGTATTTAATATAATTAAGCTATCAACATAACTTTAATCTTCATCCAACCATCTTAATCTTCATTGTCGTATGACTACAACCTGCTTAACGCCCATTACGCGCGTCTAGCAGCGATTGGCGCGCTCTTGGTTAATGTATCGTTTCAACCAATCTTTGAGCAGCGCAATAGTATTTTATCCCAAAAGGGGATAATGTTCCTTCAATAATATCCATCTTGGGTTGATATTGGTAGGATATTGTCACGCTAGACAATCTCCCTATTGACACCGTTTGGTGTCAATATCATGTAACAGGCTACCCCGTTACACGTAATCTTCTTCCTGTTAAGGATTAAGGAAGCATGGTGCGATCAAGAATAGCTGCTTAAGCTCTTTAATCAAACACTGTGAATGAAAGGATCCCAAACCTCTTTGTCTCGTACGTACACTTTATTAGCACTGTAAAATGAAAATTACGGGCGAGTAGGATGCTTTCCAGGTAAGAAAAAGAGAGATAATAAATCGCTACACTGTCACTGTTTTTTTGTTGAAAAAAACAAGATTTTAACACTTTTTTCACTTCATTAATTACGCTTGATCGGTGTACTTCCATTCAAATGTTCTTTTGTTCTTTCGCATACCCATTGCACAACATTTATAGGTTGGGTAGGACACCTTCGTCGATTGTTTGGATGCTTAGAAGATCTGTCAATCGCTCACACCAGATAAGTACATATTTTTGACTGGTCTGTATGATAGCGATTCAGCTTTCAATTAGCTAATTCTCTGGATAATTTAAGTGATGGATCGTGATGTGGCTGCACTGCAGCAAATTTAAATTCAAACTTACTCGCTTGTCACCAGAAGATACGGTCACGCGCACCATTGTGGTGGAGTGGCGATCGCTCATTTTAGGAGGCGATCCTGGCTCTCCACTGGTGCCCAGACGACCGACCATCGGAGGGGTTACTCCTTTTCGGTGTCTTGTAATTCCTCCCTCACCTTGTGTACCCGTCGGCTGGGCGGGCTGAACTCTTCTCGGTGAACTCGTGTCGATAGAAAACTTGACCGTGTTTGGAATGGGTTGGTGTGATCGGGCAAAAATCTTCGCGTGATCACGGAGTACTTGTAGGGTGTTCGATAAAAGTCACCCAGATCTCAACAAGATCACCTTGTCCACTGTTTGGATGCTTTACACGCGAGCCTTCTGACCACTTGAGCCGTCTCGTGATCTTGCGTCTTGTCCTTTTCGTTCTTGCTGCGTCCGATCGCAGTTGGGGGGGGTGAGAATTCTTGATCCCCAGCCAATGATCTGGGGATATCACTTGGTTTTAGTATACGTTACTTTCCTTTCGTCAAGAGGCCAATATTACAGCCCAGAAGAGAAGTCGACGCGTGTAATTAGAAGCGAATTTAATTCTGTTTGATGTCATCCAGCCAAAAGCTAAGACTGTGGCTGTGCCTGTCTTTGTGCTAGGATGTTCTGCTACGTGTCCTCTATCTTTCGGTGATTGAAATTCGCATGTATGGTCCACTTCAGACACCTCGCCGATCTCTTCGGTCGCCATTCTCCCGAATGCAATTTCTTCTATCTCCTCAACCGATCACCGATCGACGATCTCCTCTACCAATCCCTGAATGACGATCTTTTCGATCGATCACTATTCGAAGATCTCCTCGACCGATCGCCAATCGACCATCTCCTCGACCAATCGCCGATCGTCGATCTCTTTGGCCGATCATTGACCTTAGATCTACTAGGCCGATCGCTGATCGTCGATCTCCTTGGCCGATCACTGACCGTCGATCTCGTCGATCTCTTTGGCCGATCGCTGATCGTCGATCTCCTTGGCCATTCGCTGATCGTTGATCTCCTCGACCGATCGCCGATCGTCGATCTCCTTGGCCGATCGCTGATCGTCGATCTCCTCGACCGATCGCCGATCGTCGATCTCCTTGGCCGATCGCTGATCGTCGATCTCGTCGATCTCTTTGGCCGATCGCTGATCGTCGATCTCCTTGGCCATTCGCTGATCGTTGATCTCCTTGGCCGATCCCTGATCTGTCCGATCGCTGATCTGTCCGATCGCTGATCTGTTCGATCGTCGATCTCCTCGATAGTCGATCTCCTTGCACAACTTGTCTTCTTCATCAATCTCGATCTCTTCGACCGCTTGTCGATCGCCTTCCAGGATCTTGATCTCTGCCAATCTGTTAGCCATATCCCGACCTTGATCATCTTATACTTCCTCAATCTCGGTACCTTGGCTTGCTCTTGGTAACTTGACATTCGATCCCATTGTCGTGATATTGAGTTGTGGTATTGCGATATTCGCTCTTGGTATCGTGGTATTCGATCTCGATACTGTGATATTCGATCTCAGGATTGCACTTCTTATCAGCCAGTCAATCCCTCTCCACGATTCGTCTCCGTTGGAGACCACTCCCTTAATCGATCGCTCTTTCTTCCGAAAGTGCTTCCACTACACTTCCATCACCATCAAGTATATTCGCCTCAGGTCACCTTCTTCACTTGAGCCGTCCGAGCTCAAATCGTCCAAGCCCGAATCTTCCAAGGACACACGTACCGCATGTACTGACCGACAGTTTACTTCTCTTGGATGGTTGGGGGGTACGGATGCCTTTTGGCGATCCTTGCTTGATACAAAGATTATTTGCTCCGCTGCGCTTTTTTTCTCTGCCTGTCTCTCAGCACGTCTTCCAAAATGTCCACACCCGCCAGACGCAATATCGTGAGCTGGTCCGCCATTTCCGGGTCGTCTAAACTTTCGATGTAGTGCTTGACATGTTCCTTTTGTACCTTGGGCGGACCGTCCTTGATCTTGGTCTTCGCCCTGAGTCCATTCACGTTGAGTCGGTAAAGGTAGTGCAATGTTGACTCATCTGAACTCTTCTTCGCACGGTAGTGTTGGCGAGCAACTCGCACTCCCAAACCGTAGAACTGCATCTGGAACTCTTGTAGGATATCCTTACAGCTTGATAGAACCGAGCAACCCAGCTGGCGATACCAGTTTTGAGCTGGTCCAGTTAAAAATCACCGAAGACAAGACACTTTTCATGGTCGGGCGCTTGATCTCTCGTATACGCGATTTTCACTGTGGTCACCTAACTTCGTGCTCGGTCCTCGTCTTGATCTATTCCGTAGAAATCAATGAGGTCCGGTGTCGCTGCAATTTTGATGCGAGGGACCATGTCGTTCATTTATCCTGGCCAATGGTCCATCCAATTCCATTTCGTCAGGGTCGTACTCTCACGTACCGACAAATTACATCTCCACGTCAGTCATAGTGCCCTGTCTCGATGCTTGCGTTGGGATCCTCGGTGCTTGTTACGCCTCTTTTTCCTGCACCCTTTGTGCCTCTGCGGTCGCCCTTCCATCTTGGCATCCTTGTTGCACCTGGATTCCTGTAAAAATCGTGCCATCACCGCGTCGAAGTAAGTCTGCAAGTTACCTACCGTGTCGGTAGGCGTATCCCGCCCCAGCATCTTCGTCACGTGGTGGTGCAAAGTTTCGATAACGACCGTGCTGATTTCCCATTCAGTGAAAATTTACCCTATCAGGCGCTTGGATGTTTGGGTTAACACGTGTCGCCATTTTGTAAACATACTGATCGTTCTCTATGCCCCTTGCACAATCCTGGAGCATCGCTACTCTTGCCGGTCCCAGTGGCGTCCGGTTGTACTGGTCAAGAGCAGACGAACTGCGTGACGACCGCTCATCCGCGTCTTGGATACCTGGCGGAAGGGTTGGTAGTGGCGGACGGCGCAGCACCATCGGGTTGTCGAGCTGTGGTCGTGCTTGGGGGTTAGGCTTAGAGGTCTTGGAGTGTCATCTGGCTGTCGCAAGACAGCGTCGGTATTGGTTGCGCTGGTAATACGTCATTGTATCTGGTGGTGGTCCCAACCAGAATAGCCAATTGCTTGTGCAACTTCTATAACATGCTCTTGATGCTGTTAAAACCTAGGTCGAACAAAGTGTTTGGCTCGAACATTCCGGCAGCCATGTTTGCCTCGCAGACGAGAGTTCTCAGCGAAGTGGCCACCTCGATGACCGTCCGGAGGCGCGGTAGGGGTGACACCGGTCCCCCTAGCTGTCCAAGCAACTTGATCTCCAGGGTTTTCGCGACGGGGTCGCTTGCCAATTTGGTATACAGCTTGCGTCGTTGGTAGGCGATCGTCACAGCATCTTCCGATCCAGCTAACGGTCCTGCTTGGGCAGGGCCCATCAATTTGGTGTCCACCGGCGTCTTCTTGTTTTTCGGCTTGGACTTAGCGGTGTTGGGATGTTTTGGTGTGGGAGGATCATAGCTTTCCAGATTGAGGCTTCAGCCGTTGATCCGAATCCGTCGATGGTCCTGACGTATCTGGACCTATCGACTTGGTGTCATACGGCGCTTTTATCCTGTTTCTCTTCAGCTCGGACTTGGCGACCAAAGGGGTTTATTGTTTCGGGAACCATAACTGTTCGCTTTTCACCGTCGGTTGATGGTCCACTAGGGCAAGATAGATATCATGACCCAATACGTCCTCAACGAGAACATAGGGAGGATGTTTAGATTTTTCTTCAGTAATTTCAACCTTGACCATATTGACCGGATCTGTAGCGGAGCTACCACACCTCCTTAAGTCAGAGGAAGACTTAACGCTTTACGAGCGACTTAGTTCCACAGAACTAACGACTTTACGAGTCAACAAGCTTTACAGCTTCAGATCCCTGTTCCAGGGGACCTAACGATTCAGGGAATCGACAGCACTCAGTGCTCAAGAGTAGCTACCTCAAGGAGGTGTTGCTAACTCTTAGTGATCAGTAATCAACGATCAAGACGGCTCGCAAGCCACGTGTTCTTTAGATCAAAATGGGAACTGATTTTATTTTTGTGAACGCTTATAGAATATCTTAATCCTACTCAAAGATCTTTCGTACCTAATGGCTGACACTCGTCAGCCCCTACAAACCAATAAGATATTCTATATCACCTTCACAAAGGGGTAACCTCAGGTGTGTAACATCTCTGGTACAAAGAACCATAATATCGTGCAACACCGTTACAGGACCCCTCCCAAGGCCCGGTCGGTCCTTCGACTCTTTGTTTCTGTCTTCTTGTGTCACTAGCGGTCGGTCTTCCAGTGGTTCTTCGGTCTTCGGTTCTATCGTGACCTTAACGTCTTCTTCATCTTGGGAATCACAGTAAAATCCCGCGTGTTCTGACGATGCGGGCACGCGAACCATTGTTGTGTAGTGGATTGTCAAAACTGTCTGACGAGACCCTAAACCAATCACTATGCCGGAATGCCGACTGTCGGAGGGGGTACCCCGATGCCGCTTGTGAAACTTGACTCACTTGTGTACCCGTGGGCTTGGCGGGTTTCACTCTTGGAGGACTTGGTGATGATGTAGACGTCAGCCTTGCTGGAGGTATACCTAGGAGGGCCCCGAGCGGATATGCATCAGTTGGGGTCCGATGTAGGCGGCCAATCGATCGACTTGGTCGAGATTGGTCTTATAACCAGTTGTCTAAGGTGTTGGTGATGCCTGGCCTTCACTTTTCTTAGGGGCGTTAGACGCCTGGCTTTTATCTTTCTTCTCCCTTACCACTAGGGTAAGGAGACCGCTTTCTGTAGCGGGATTGAGTTGGGGGGGGGGTCCTACTCTACGAACCCACAATTTAATGTACTTCCTAGGGTTCTACGTACGCTTGTGGCGTACTTAAAACTGTCTGTTGGACGGGTGGGTCACACAGACCCCTGGCCCGGAACAGGTTGGTAGACTTACATGTTTCTTAGCGCACAACACGTCGCGCTACTTAGATCGCCAATTAAGTAGTCATTAATGTTATCCTATCCCTTAAAATCCTTTACTCTATCCTTGCCTTGCACCCGGGGTTCGCAATGATGAATGGCCAGGATCAAATAGCCTCTAAGAGGCCAAGTCGAACTACGGGGGATCGATGTTCACGTCAGGCGACCAGGACCGACCGACGAGTGGTTGAGAGAGATCAATATCGGTACCGCTTAACTGGTACCGTTTGTTGGTTTGAACTTGTTAGCAGTAACCTTAACCACTCATCACGGTTGGACCCAACGGCCACTCCTTACCTGTGACGCTCAAGTCTCTGTTACTTTTCCGACTGCGAGGTCCCATATCCGTCCGGCTCATCGAATCTTAAGTTCATCATTATCGAATAATCGCTTCACCACATAAAGACCTGTGGACCTGAGTGGTACTAGTACGTACAGTATTGGTACCATGTACTAACAGTAATCCCGCACCTTATCGGGTAAGGATAAGGAATAAGACTTCTTTCATAGGATCACAATGTAGAAGTCAGTCAGTCAGACAAGGTTTAAGGATTTTATTACCTGAGCTGAAAGAAAAAAAAGTTCAGTTCTCTTTTTGAGTCGCTGTGACAAGTGCCTAGTCAAGGCGTACTGTGTTGGTTAGAACATTAGCCTTGTCAAGGCGTTTACTCTTGTTTAACTAGTAGTGACCAGTTAGTGTGTAATTCTACGAATCATAATTTCTTCGGAGCCGATATTGTTAAGCTTGTACGCTTGAACGACTGTACGTCGTTCTGAGTTTGTTATGGCTAAGAGACTCTTTGAGTCTAAGGCTTCCTCTGCTAAGGAGCGCTGTGTAGCTCCGCAACACTTGGTAGCAATTGTAGTCAATCTACAGCCAGGTCTACACAGATTGGATCCTTTGAGAGGATGTAAACGGCCATGAACTTTTCTTAGGCCCAGCAGAGCATGCTTGAGAAGTTCACGGCGTTGATTGAGCACTAGAAAGTGGTTCTTATAGTGACACAAGGCCCGGACTGAACTTCGTGCACGTCCCGAGGTCTTCTCGAACTTTGCAGCCACTTTGATCGGACAATTCCACGCGCATTTGGCATCTACCATTCCCACTAGGTATGTTCCGATACCATACACTGAGTCAAGGACTCTTCCTCTCGTCTGAAGTTTCACGATTTTTGAGGGAAAAGAGGGAGAAATCTACTTTAGTGGGTTCGAAAGATGGAGGTTGCCATCAGTTCGGCCCTTCTGCGGCCAGAGCAGCAAAATGTGAGCCTAATCCTGTCGAAGCTAGTTGGCCGATCCATGGATCGGGTCTCTACTTCTGGAGCCTCGATAGAAGAGGCTTTTCACACCCGGGACATGCTATTGCAGCAGATATCTCGAAGGTTTGTCCCTTCTAATCAAGCACGTCGTGTGCGATTACGCTTTCTGTCAACCCGACACGTAAAATGCACTTAATCGATTATATCCACGAGGGGAGAGCTCTCGTAGCTGCTATAAAACTTGACCATTTAACTGAGACGGTTCTGGTAACAATTTTTAAGAAGGGGCTTCGCGTCTAATTTTTCAGAACGTAAGTTTTCCATCCCAAATCCCGACATTTTTTTGGTGCAGAGGACACAGCGTTGAACGCAGATACTAAATCAAAGCTGCCCGCTACGGGACTCATGGGTTTCAATAACACTCGTCGAGCAATGCTCATCTTTTGGATAGGGCAGACCTCGTGGACCTTAGTCTCGCTGAGAGAGACAAAGAAGCTAATCTTTACCCTTTCGAACAGCGTTCGAGCATCCGTAGATGTTTTACGTGCGGACGCACCAAACATCTTCGCCTCGATTGTCCTTTAGAAAGGCCAGACAGGCTTATTCGAACCGACCTCCCGTCGCTGATTGACGAGTCGGTTAGGCACTGACCAACGTCGAATCCCAGTAGGCGCAGGGCTCCCTGATGGGGAGGATTAATGCTCTGTTGTTTTTCTTGGAGGTAATGAGAATAGGGCCTAGCCCCAAGTGTCTTCGTGAGCAAGGTCCCAAAGCATGAGTACAATCCAGGCTTGTTCGCTGCAAAATCAACGAAGAGGGCTTTGACAACTTACGGTCGATATCAATCCACTCCGGGGCGTCGGCCAACTACGTTCGACATTTTATCCTTTAAGGGAGTCAGCAGCATGCTGAAACGATAAAACCGCGAAAGAACGAAACTATAACTGTTCGCTTGTCGAGAGGTGCATCATTTACTGTGCCTAAAGTCCATGTGAACTTAAGCGCAAAGTTTTCGGACTTTGACAGCATCGATCGCTATCTCGTTTTTGACCTGGATGAAATTTATGATCTCATCCTTGGTGTGGCTTGGCTAGAACGCCATGAGCCATGAATTGATTGTAGGTCAAAGACCTTCGGCGCAACACGCACTGTTCCTAGTGGAGCTTTGGAGATTCATGAGCCCACCTATGCAAGGAAACAGAAACGCTATTGGGCGAGCCACGGACTGAGACAGTCATTGTGCTGGACATCGGTATGGTTTAACTCGTTAAGTTGGTCAATGTCAAATACATTAGTTACTAGCCAAGCTCGTTGACTGTCAATGAAATAGTACGTACTTCGTCGAGTGACAATCGTTGTGATAACGAATCACTGAATGCTGAATGCATTGTTGGCCTAGAGCCAATTCATTGTTGGTTGAACTCATCTGGTAAACGTGGAGTGGCGCGTAAGTACCCACTGAGTGATGTTGGACGTGATTGCGACAGACCAAATGTCAGTCAAGACATAGTTGGTGAAATACCAAGTCATCAAGGGCGACAACCATTCGATGAACGTGAAGTGGCACGTAAGAAACTACTGGGTGGTGGTATCACTGGTATTGAATCATCAATAGATGTCAATACTGACATCAGATCTGATATAGATCAAATAAAGGTGGACATAGTGTTCCACTTTGGGGACAGTGTAGTCCAAGATGTCGGTAATGACATCGACTCTGATATTGGGCAAATTAATGTTTATGGACAGGTTAACCTTGGTGACATTGATGTACCAGATGTCGGTAATAACATCAGCTCAGGTAATGAGCAACTGACTGTTGATAGTCAGGTTAAACTTAAGGACATTGATGTCCCAGGCATCGGTAATGACACTGGCTCTTGTACAGAGCAAGTTAAGGATGATGATGCTATCAACCCTGGAAACGGTAACCTTTGAGACGTTCAGTCTCGCCACAGAGACGACAGCGACGCCATATTGATGTTATACAGCGCAACACGTCTGTTACGTCTTTGAGTAATACTTGCGGGCAGCTATATACACTATTCAATTACCGGTAACGTAGATAGGTAAGTCTTTGGACTCTACCCTCACTGGATTCTCTTTTAGATCTAGACGGAGTGTATATTGATGAGTTCGGCCTGACCCTAAAGTCAGGAAACTTATCT